ATATGTGGGGGCGTGTTAGAACGAGCCGTTTTAGGTAGGTGTGGCTGACTCTGAACTTTTATAAAGAATATCTCTTTGGATTTGAGACTTTAGTCTTTGCAACTTTACAGATCTTCTTTATGCACCAAGAGCTTGTAACACTTCAAAGAGAAAGGAAAAATTGAAATCGCATCATATGACCCCCCCCAAACCTGTTTGTTCACATTGCTCAGATTCAGTGTCAAATAGTCACCAAAGTTAGACCTAGGCCTGCAATGTGTTTAGCCTACACATAGTTCATTTTATAATTTTAAAACGATTTGATTTTGGACATTTGTAATTTATCAAACTTATTTTGAGCTTTGTACCTTTACTTACAGCATTCTAGATAAATGTTTAACCTGTTTCTTACAGTTTCACATTTTGCTAAGTCTAGATTAGCTGATCTGTTTTGAATCAGGGTTTTTTTTTTTCAGTATAAATTGAGGTTATAATTATGCTGATAATTATTTGATACTGTGGTTCTCAAACGAAATGGAGCTTTAGGGTTGAACTATTCACTGGTAAAATACAGGGTGCTTCTCAAATGGATGGCTGCGTCCTTTCTATGCTAGTTCTTCTGAGGCTTCAAGTCTGAAGTCCTGCTCTGCATTAAATGCTAGAATGAGACTGTGTAGTAAGTATGCATGACTATTTCAAAAATGTTTCTGACCCTTCCGTCACGGCACGAAAATACTATTAAAATTATAAGTTAAATAGTAGCCTATTTTATATTAAAAATCTCTATAATAACCGATTTTTAGGGGTGCTCCGATTGATTGGCGACCGATCGCTATCGGCCGATAATCTCTTTGGGAAGTTTGATCGGTGGCCGATCTTATAAACAGATCTCAAGCTAACGACGCGCCTGCCATGACAGGTTTGGCGTGACATGCAGTGGCACAGTCACAATCTCTGTCCGGCACAGGTAAAATAATTATAATGCTGAAGGTGAGGTACAATTCATATTACTTTATTAAATAACTTCCAAAAGATATTTGAAAACTTTCTGTGAGACATAATTTCACAAACGGTGTGAGTGAATCACTGTGCACTCTTTCTCTTTCCCTCTCAAAATGCTCAAATAGCTTCAAATCACCACATTGCGTCTGCACTATAAGCGAGCTGCACAGTTGACACAGGAATTGTAACTTGCATAATCGAGTCTGTGTCGCATCATCACTAAAGTTTACAATTTGCATTTCTTTTTAAGTCTTGCCAGTGTTTAAACCATTCAGCACTCGCACGTTCTCCTAGAGACGGTTCACTCATGCACACTCAAAGCGTGCACACATAAGGCCGCCTCACATACAGCTCACAAAATCAGTCTTTTCTTGTGCTGTGTGTAAGCTATTATGCATTATAAAAAATGCACTGCATGGTCAAATATTTAGGTGAGATAAATCTCTATAATAACCGATTTTTAGGGGTGCTCCGATTGATTGGCGACCGATCGCTATCGGCCGATAATCTCTTTGGGAAGTTTGATCGGTGGCCGATCTTATAAACGGATCTCAAGCTAACGACGCGCCTGCCATGCAGTGGCACAGTCACAATCTCTGTCCGGCACAGGTAAAATAATTATAATGCTGAAGGTGAGGTACAATTCATATTACTTTATTAAATAACTTCCAAAAGATATTTGAAAACTTTCTGTGAGACATAATTTCACAAACGGTGTGAGTGAATCACTGTGCACTCTTTCTCTTTCCCTCTCAAAATGCTCAAATAGCTTCAAATCACCACATTGCGTCTGCACTATAAGCGAGCTGCACAGTTGACACAGGAATTGTAACTTGCATAATCGAGTCTGTGTCGCATCATCACTAAAGTTTACAATTTGCATTTCTTTTTAAGTCTTGCCAGTGTTTAAACCATTCAGCACTCGCACGTTCTCCTAGAGACGGTTCACTCATGCACACTCAAAGCGTGCACACATAAGGCCGCCTCACATACAGCTCACAAAATCAGTCTTTTCTTGTGCTGTGTGTAAGCTATTATGCATTATAAAAAATGCACTGCATGGTCAAATATTTAGGTGAGATAATTATGTATTTTTGGAAAAAAAATAATTTTTGTGGTGTCTGAAGTGATTTATAACTTATAAAATATGTCTTAGTCACAGTTCCAATGGACTAAATGTAATGATGATTAAAAAAAAAAAGACATGTGTTCTAAATGTTTTTTTGAATTCTGAGTTCTTACAGGATGCTTTCCACTAGGCCTGGGTGATAAAATGGTATCGATATTTATCGATGGTACACCTTCGATAACGATACAAAAAATGTTTGCACGTGCTATGAGTGACACAGACAGCACACACAAACAGGAACATGAGTGCTGTGCCTACCTGTGATGAGGAGATTGTGAATAAAAAAAAAAAGAATATTAGTTGAATTTAAAATAAACATTTGCATTTGAAGGCAAAAATATTACAATGAATGTTAGGTGTGCGTCAGGGAGCGTCATCAGTGGAGCACGAGATGCGGTGATGATGATGTAAGTGACGTTGTAGTTTAATGTTTTGTTAGTCTAGCCCACGATACGCGCATTTGCTGCATTATTCATTCATTATTCATTCAAAATATTAGAGAAATATAGTAGCTCATCGCGGAGAAGATCTTGATTAGGTTAAAACCTAAACCAAGCCATTCACACAGAACGCATATTCAGTGCATTTTCTAGATGGACAAATATGACCGCTGCACTCGCATCTCACACAAGAGATGTATAGAAAGCCATGCAAAGAGTTAAAAACAGTTTAAACTTTTAGAAAACACATCGCAAATTTGTGGAGGTTTATTCCTTTTCACTGCATCTCATATGTTTTTAAAGGCAATCTGTGTGATGGGTGATTCGACTCTTTGTATTAAGCAATGCATACCTAAACCAAGCCATTCACACAGAAATCATTTTCGGTGCATTTTTTTAGACGGACAAATATAACTGCTGCACTCGCGTCTCACACGAGATGTATAGAAAGCCATGCAAAGTTAAAACAGTTTAAACTTAGAAAACACATCACGAATTTGTGGAGGTTTATTCCTTATGTTTTTAAAGGCAATCTATGTAATGGGCGATTCGGCTCTTTGGATTAAGCAATGCATAAATACATGATGCTGTTTTGTTCATAATTTGTTTATGCAATTTACGAAATTTTATTTGATTTAAATGTTCATTTAGATGTAATGCACTTTTTTTTATTTTTATAGACCGTTATTTCCATGCCTGGATAGTTTAATGTGCTGCATTATTTTGCTCATTGCGCCCTCCTGTGACCTCGGGGAAACAAGCCAAAATTTAACCTGTTTAAGCTGCATATAAAACATTAGAAATTAGATAATTGTTTAATTTTTATTTTGTGTTTGACTGTGGTTAAATGTAAAAAAAATTATATTGCTCTGTTTTAAAAAAGGTTATAAAAATATCAATAATTATTATCGATACCGAACGATATGAAACATTATATCGTTAATAAATTTTTTTTTTTTTTAGCTATATCGCCCAGCCCTACTTTCCACTAATTTCCACTAATTTGTATGTTTGTATAATGCATCTCAGACCATATGGAATAGACTGACTTCTGAACATATACTTACTATATCAATGGCCGACTACGAACATCCTCTGGGTAGCAGCCAATCAGTGAGTGCTCTGGATAAATCAGCACTCATCTCTGCTGTTAAACCCACACACTCCTGTAATGGCAGCACAGGATCTTCACGCCACTCACGACAGGTCAGTGAACAGCTCTCAATATTTCTTTTTGTTCTGGTTCTTAACATCTGAATTGTTTGTAATTTCCTTTTATCAGTTATTATCATAACTCAATAACTTTTTTTTCTCCCAATACAGAACTCCAGGGATTGGGAAGTAATATCAGATGCAGAATGTTCTGCACCTGTCGCGGGAATGAGTTTGGTCAATAACACTGTTCCAGGCATTTGTGAGGGATTCCTCATGAAAAAGCGCAAGTATCCTCTCCGGGGCTGGCATAAGGTGAGTTGCATGAACTAAGAAAATATCCATGGCATAGAATGACCACCATGACTCACCTAGTGACCTGTCCCAATGCAATGATTTTCTCCTTTAGAGATATTTTGTATTGGATAAGGGGGTTCTCAAATATTCAAAGACTCAACAGGATGTAAGCAAAACTAATATCTCTTATTGTAGTAATTAAAATCACAATGTAGAATTCTTTTTCCAGTGTTTTTCTAAAAGTGACTTCTCACATCCTCAGATTGTCAGAGGCAAGATTCACTGTGCTTTAGATGTTAGTCTTGCGGTCATGTCTGTGAACAGAAAATCTAAGCGCATCGATCTTGATGCTGGCGACAGCTTGTACCATGTCAAGGTGTGTATATGTACAACTAAGAATGTTATCGTAGTAGTGATTGATGTTGTAAATCATTACAGTAGCTCACGTTGCCCACGTTAGCTGACTTGAGTCAAGTAAATAAATCCTCAATAAATCAAGAGAGTGTCCAAATTGCACTCAAACCATTACAACCAACAGTATTTCACATTCATTCTATGCTTCAAGAAAAACAATGCATTAATTATAAAAAGAAATTAAAAAAATTATTATTTTTTTTTTTTTGACTATCACAATTTAAATGACAACTGTCTTGTAATATTTGCTTTCTGTAGAGTTATTTTTATTGAATGTCTTGCACATAAATTTGGTGTTATATTCTCGGGGTGTTTTTTTTTTTTTTTAAGCTAAGTTAAGTACCAGCCATTCAGAACTTTTACTAGCCAAAACAAATAAACCAGGGGCCAGATTCATGAAACATTCTTAAGAAAAAAAAAACTTATTAACTGACATTTTTCTTTTTTTAAACTTAAGAAAAAATTTAAGAAAATATTTTGTATTCCCAAAATTTTTATTAATGTAATTTTTTCTTAAGATTGTTCCTAAGACAAAACTTAAGGATTCAAATTCATAAAAAGAATCTTCTTAAAAATCATTGTAAATAACTTCTTAAAGTTAGGATAGCCCCAGACTTGTCTTAAAACCCAAATAGTAAGAATTATTTAATTAATGTATTGGGTTATTTCAAATTAATTGTTATATTTAAGCATTACAACAACACTAGTTACATATAATACTTAGTAGGATTATACTAGGGATGTGCACGAGTTTTCTGAAGTGACAGCGATGACTTAATGTAAACAATGACCGGTCATGATTGTGTAACGCGAACATTTGGTGAATTCAAAATTCAGTAACAACTCTACAAAAACAAGTCTGATAGGGAGCTTGTTTTTAATTTAGCCTATAAATACAACATAATCTTTAGCAGTATTCAGCGCGAATGCGCCCATACACAGCACACATTTACTGTAGCAGCGCACACACACATACTGGAAGCATTCACTCAGAAGAGAGCGCAAAAATACAGCACAAAAATGAATGAAACCGATCGCTGCAGCTTGAGACAGGCTTTTTTCAGGTAACTTCAAAAACATGGCACATTAAAAATGTGAAGCCGAGCGTCAGTCAGGCTGGTTGTGATAAAATAGTGTGCGTGCTTATGATGATTATTAGTGTAATCCAAAATCTTAATTTATTTAAGAAGATTTTCATGAATCCGGCCCCTGATTTTTTTCAACGTTTTTTTTTCAAAATCAAAGTTGCAGCTTTGATTTAAATGTAATTATTATCTGATTCTGCTGTTAGTTTTTATTACATACAATCATTGTTTGTAGATGCCACCAATCCAACCTGTTGCAAAATTATCTGATTTCTCTTATTTCCAAATATAGCTCATTCTAAATGTGTTTAATGGTACACACATTAAGGATTAGTGGACCGGCTGCCAATTAACAAAGTGATCAGCAGTTTCCTTACAAACGTCACAAGTCATCACCTCCATTGTCATGCATTCAAAAAAAGTCAACCCGTTTTCCTCCAAAGGCATTTGATAATAATAAAATTCTTGTCTCAAAACATGATGACATAACTAGATAAAGTTTGTAGAGACACTTTGTTGACTTGAAAAAGCTTAGCCAGAAAGTTTGAAGTAGTTTTAAAAGCTTGAAATTTAAAGGTTTTCAGTTTGAAATAGTAAGGTTTTAATTTACTAGTTTTTAAAAAGCTTAAAACCAGCTAAAACTCAAAAGCTAGATTTTGAAAAATAGCTAAAACCAGCTAATTTATCAACAAAAGCTAAAAGCCAAGACCAGATCATTTAGCCAAAAACATCTAAAACCATCCATTTTAACAAATAAGCCAGCTAAAACCAGTTGATTTAGCAAAAAATGGCTGAAACCAATTAAAAACAGCTAAAATCAGCTGAATTTGGCAACAAAAAAAACTGCTTAAAGCAAGCCGATTCATTAAAAAAAAAATTAAACCTAGCTAAAACCAGGCCATTTACTGAAAACCAGCTAAGCCCTACTGATTTAGCCACAAAAGCTAAAACCAGATCATTTAGCAAAAAAACCCAGCTAAAACCCCTTGATTTAAAAAACAAAAGCAAAAGAAGTTAAACCCAGCAGATTTAGCCACAAAAGCTTAAACCCATCTAAAACCAGCTGTTTTAACAGATAGATGGGTAGATGGATAGAAATAGTACATTTGCTTTTTCAATCCAAATTAATAATACCCCAACATATAATGTCATGATAATAAAATTCCCATGCCTTTCGTGTCAGCAAATTGACAGTAAATGTTTCTCAATGGAAGCAATATGGCATGTTGCAGAAAAAAGCTAAAGGCTACTTCTGGGGTCTGTAGAATGATGCTCAAAAGTCTTAGACATGCAGTGTTTATCAAACACTAGGAAGTGGGAATAGGTTGAAAAAGTGGCCTCTTGTCTCCTCAACAGTATTAACGGAGCTACTCCAGCAGAGCATTTACTTGACTTACTTGAACACTAACTTGATTGGTCATTGTGTTCAAAAGATGAACAGACTATTGGCTACACTTCTCAACATTAGAAGAAAATGTGGGATGGGAGGCCCCTCTTAGTGGAGTAGCTCTGACAGCGATGACATGCAAAATGATAGAATATAATTTAATTATAACACATTGGATTTGCTTGTGAAGAACTCTCTAATTGTAACAATTTGTTTGTGGGTGCGTTGACTTGTCTTCTCCTTCCAGGCAAAGAGTGATGATATCTTCTACATCTGGCTGACCAAACTGACTGCCCATCGGCATTTCAAGAAGAACGAGGCTATAAACCTGCACCACGGGGTCCTTCAAGCCCTCTCGACAGGAACCAGCAGCACTTTGCCTGCCATGGCGAGTCTTGCACAGAGAAACCGAGCGATGGTGGGCATTAATGTTCATCTTAAATGTGATTGCTTTTGGAAATTAAGTAGCATTTTTAGTTTTTTGTTAGAGTTCCACTGCCTTGAATTTTCCCCCATTAAGCGGTTGTACATTTTTCTCTTATCTAGATGCCACATTATCAGAGCTCACCATCATTGTTTGGGTCAGAGATGCAGGGTTCCCCATCAGCCTCTTCATCTCGAGGAAATACTAAAGTATCTGATTGGCTCAAAAAGACACAGGAAGCTGACTTGTGCCAGATAGGTATGCAATACTAATACCTTTTAATTCAGCATGAGTATATGGAGCCAGTGTAGGTCCTGAAGAAATGTCATTTAAAGGGGTCATATGATGCGATTTCAATTTTTCCTTTCTCTTTGAAGTGTTACAAGCTCTTTTTTATAACAAATCGAACCTGGTGTGAAGTAGCATCACATGTTATTTGTATAAAAAAAGACGCACAATCCTTTTCATTTCCCACATATTGTAGTGTTGACACCTATTTAGCTTTTTTTTTTGAGTGCTTTTTAATCCGAGTGCTTCAGAATATATGTTCTTCACTTCCTCTAACATTCAGCCTCTCATGCACAGAACTTGCCAGGTGTCAGCTGGATATAGCTGAGCTCTCGAGTTTAATCCAGAAACTTCACTGGCATGAGGGTGGTCTTCCCATCACAAACATGGACCTTGAACGTCGAATCAGCATACAGGTGAGTCTGCTGTTGTAAATCTGACACAGAATGGACAGGATATCTGTTATCTTTGTGCAGCAGCCAGCATAACACAAAGCAAATGTGAGAAGTAAAAGTGGTGATTATTTGATGGCATTAGCAGTGTTAAATATCAAAGAGGTAAACATGGTGCTTATTTTTCAGAATCTTAGTCTTGAGAAACCCAAAAAGAAGTCTGGAAAGTTCTGGGGTCACTCCCGAACGCTGTCAAGAGGCGAATCGCTTGGCTTTGTAAGTTCAAAATGATGTTCCTTGTTTGAGTTTGAATAAATGATGTCTGACTATTGTAAATACAGAGGGTCTCATTCACTAACTGATGCATCAAGGCTCAACAGTGGTAGCATTTCCAACATGATCTCATGATAATTCGTATGTATTTTACGTAAAATGTGGTTCTATAAAACGTACATTTACTTACGTTTTTACAGGCACTAAAACGTACAATACTGACATATTTTCAGCCTCTAAACGTACAAATACTTACGTATTTTCAGCATTTAAACGTACAAAACTGACGTATTGACGACACCTAAAAATGAATCCTTGTGAATATTGAAATCGCAGCATTAATTTTATTAGTTTTTAGTTATCATATTTACCTTGTTTTCAATTGCATTATTAAATTGTTTACTTGTTTACTTATGAAATTATAACATTTCGTTTTGTTGTGATTTCTGCTGCTAGCTCGTTTCCAAGAAGCAATAGATTGTAACGTTAATTGCATTTATCTGTCTGTCATGTTTTTCTTATACTGTACAGAGTTGTTTAGGCTTATAGGTAGGAGTGGAATTAGCGACTATAAATATTTTTTAATGATATATTGTTTCAAAAAATTTTATTTTCCTGCGTATTTCGGTAATTTGCGTTTTATATCCTTTATATATATCGCTATAAAATGGGTAGGTTAAGGTTTGGGGGTAGGTTAAGGGGTCTAAAAATCTAAATTGCGTATTAATAAAATGATAAAAATGCATATTCGCTATAAAATGGGTAGGTTTAGGTTTGGGGGCAGGTTAAGGGGTCTAAAAATCTAAATCGCTTATTGATAAAATGATAAAAATGCATTGATACGAATATCTAAATGATATAAGATATGTACATATTTTTACGTTTTTTTTAGGTAAAAATACGTAGCGATTTGTACGTTTTAAAGGTTGAAATACGTCTAAATTGTACGTTTTAGCATGAATGAATAACTTACAAAAGTGTACGTTTTGTGCTTGTAAATGTTACGTATTAATACCTATGTATAAACATGAGACCAGGCTGGCATTTCACACGAGTTTGAGAATAAATAGATGTTTGCAAACTGTATAATGTATTAAGGACCATGCGTGCTAAATAAAGTCTGTCAGTTTAGTGAAATTTAAGGTCATACTTCTTAAATATCTTAGTTGTTATACAATTTATCATTTTAAGAGGTCTTAAATTTGGGGATGGGGAAAAAAACAGGAACCAACCTAATGTTATTAAACTTCAAAAGGCAATTATTTCATTAAATGTCACTGCACATTTCAAAATAAAAATGTGGAGCTGTTAAAAGCATTTGTTAATAGTTTAATTTATCATATTTGATTTGATTTGATTTTTGTAATGTTTTTTTTTCTAAAGTAAATTGTATTATTGTTTTGAACTGCTTGCGCTTCACAGTTAACTCTGTTAACTGTATTTGTTGGTGTTTTATTTTATTATTATTATTTGTTTATTTTTGGTGAATTGTTTTAAAACCACAGCACAAAACACCTAATAATCAAACTGAACAGAATTATTTTACATACTTAATTATTAAGTGTATGGAACCCATGACAATTAAAGAACAAAATCATTCAAAAACTATTGTTTACTGAATTAGAAAAAAGCGAATTCATAGATTATAACATGAGATTTCAGTGATAGTTTGACCACTCAAGTAAGAAATGTCCGCAGTTTCTATTTCAGAAAACCTTTTTTAAGTCACCTTAAATGAATGATCAATTAATCGTTAACCATAATACTCCCAAGAAGCATCTACTGTAGTGGCATTTAGTCAACGTAACAGGATGTGCAAATGCCATTTAAAACGCCAGTTTCCTCACCTGAAAGAAACGTTTTTTCTAGCTAGTAGTAAAAAGCTAGTAGTATTGTAAAATGAGTGATGTGTTTGATCATTTAATAAAATGAAGTGAGGCGAGCATGCTGTGTTTGGGATCATTTTACGTTAAATGGTGATACTGAGTTTAATTTTCACCAGAGTTCGGTAGTGAATGTTGATACATTGTTTTCATTGTTCAACTTAAGACTGCGTTGGAATGGTTAATGCTTACTATATCATAAATTGCCATAGCTGTCCTTGCAACCAGTGTGAAAAATGTGTTTTTTCAGCTTTCTAGCACAGAAAAAGCAGACATTTTCCACACCGTCTGTATTTCCACTACAGCAACAAGTACAGACAGACACTCTGAACTGTATTGTTTCTCATAATAATTTAACATTTTACTATAATATTTTTGCACAAGATGTGAAGAGTTAATACATCAGATATTCAGCCCCTCCAATTAATCATCCAAACAACATGAGTGGTATCACAATAATACTAGAAAGAGTGATAATTGTGCCTTAGAGTACAACACCAGTGAAATTAAGATGTAGTGACAGCACTACTCTGTGTAAGAGCTTTCAGCACATCCTCCAGGGTGTCCGCGGGTCCTTAAAAAGTCTTAAATAATGTTTTCCTAATATAAGGCCTTAAAAAGTCTTAAATTCGGATTCGATGGGTCTTAATTATTTTTGGTCTCATTACCGCTAAAATATCTTCAGTCTGACGGACCTAATGACTTTACAATCATTGGACCGACCCGCGGTAAGTTACTGCGTCATCAGAGAGAATTGCAGTAAGTTAGCAGAACACAGAATACAAGCTCGCGCTGAGGCTCACTCGGTTTGTCTCGAGACTTCAGAACAAACGAGCGTGACAGCACACCAGAGCATGTGAGCGGAGCGGAGTGGTAATATTTCCTTAAGAGCGCAGAGCGCCTTTCTGAAGATTCTGCTCCGCTCGCTCAAAACGCTCCGTGCCACTCGCTCAACCCAGAATGCCGTTTGGTGATTTGCTTGTTCGAGATCGAGAATCTGTAGAGATCGAGAATAGTAGAGCAGTTATGGAGTTCAGATATTGTTTCAACGAAGTTGCAAGCCTTATACATAAATGTAAAGTAAAAAATCTAAGTTAAGAATGAGCAGGGAGAAAAAAAACCATTCACAACACCTACTGAGTGCAGGCATTACGTGAAGTCTAGTGCGCGCGCGCATTTACAGTGCGCTCTGCCTGATCGCTGCATGATTCAGTCTATTAAAATACATTCGGAATGATCACAAATTCAAGACATGGGGGCAGAAAATTTGTATATTTATACTCGAGTTCACACGGAAGAGTGCCCAAAAATTACCATATGCAAATGTGATATTGATTTTTTTTTTACAACAGTTCAATAAACTAGAAGTTTTATTAAGAGACTTACGTTTTAGACACCATATTGCCCGTTTTTGCACTATTTCGCCAACAAAAATAATTCCAAACAAAGCCACAGTGCTGTTTTGCGTCTCTGAACAACATGACGGTGTTTCGTTGCCGAATGAAATCACTCGTTTAAATGATTCGGTTCAGTCGCAATGACTCACTTAACAGTGACTTACTGCCACCAATTGGCGCTTTTAATTTCACATTTAAAGTATCTTCATTTTTTAAATTATTTCAAATATCAGTATTCAATGTTTTATGTTTAATATATCAAAACATTATTTATGCATTTGTAACTGCAGGTTAAATGCATTCATGTCCTGCATTAAACGGTGTGTAAACACATCTAAATGCCACTTTAGGTGCAGCTTATGTCTGGATTGCAAAGATGAATTTTGTTGATACTGATTTCATTTGCTTGGTAACAGCCCAAATGTCTTATTCTTATTCACTGATTAAATGTAAGAATTTGACTCAAAAGATAATGCACACTTATAGAAAAATGGCTTTATAAAGGTAAAATGCCCATAAAAGGTA